TTCGTAACAAACAGAAGGAAGGGTCGGAGAACCTATTAAGTATATACAATGTATATTATACATATATAAATGATCAGTATGTCGAGCTGAGTCGATTTAGTCATGTTCGTCTGTCTGTATATATACRTACTAGTCCCTCAGTTTTAAAGATATCGTTTTGAAACTTTTCAAACGTCATTTTCTCTTCAAGTAGCTGCTCATTTGTCGGAACTGCCGATATCGGACCACTATAACATATAGCTGCCATACAAACAGAACGATCGGAATCAAGTTCTTGTATGGAAAACTTTTACATTTGACAAGATATATTCACGAAATTTGATATAGATTATTTTCTGGGCCAACAATGTAATCTTCGAAGAAATTGTTCAGATCGGTTAACTATAGCATATAGCTGCCATACAAATGAATGATCGAAATTAAATGCTTGCATGGCAAGCTCCCTCACTTGACGATATATCTTCACGAAATTTGGTATGAGTTATTTTTTATAGAAATAATGTAATATCAGAAGAAATTATTCAGATCGGCTCACTRTATCATATAGCTGCCATACAAACCGAACGATAGGAATCAAGGGTCTGTATGGGAAACTTTGGCATTTGACGTGGTATCTTCACGAAATTTGACATGGATTACTGCTTAAGGTAACAAAATAATCTCCATAAAAATTATTCAGAACGGATTACTATAGCATATATGTAGCTTCCATACAAACTGAACACTTAGTTACTAACAGAAATGCACCTGTGAAGGGTATTTAGCTTCGGTGCAACCCGAAGTTAACGTTTTTTTTTCTTGTTATGTGTATCGGTTGAGACTTCGATATGTTTGTTCGCGCGTATGAACCATAAACTCCATTTAAGTGAAACATATTAACTTCCATTGTGCACATGACGTTAATCCCTGCTGCTAGTGGTGGGTCAAAATGGCAAAGCCACCGACGAGCGAGTCGATACGCTGCCACCTACCACAACGTGCGGCGAACAGCCAAACGCAAGCGCTCTCCTTACATGCCCACATTTAACCATACACATACACACTTACGTGGTAAGAGTGTTGACAAATTAACGAAATCGCTAGCGACCCTTTGGCCYCGCGCGAACAATCACTAAAACTCCATTAAAACCAAAAAATAAGTAAATAAATTAAATTACTCGAAGAAAAACCATAATACGCGCATACACACAAAGTCAAATTTCAAATCCGTTTCAGTGCGGTGACGAGTGCAACTCGTACACACACCGCTACGAGTGTGCCTATGGTACGGCGTACTGAATTTCGAATCCGCAATCACGCATTCTGGATACTAACACGCTGATACCTGGGCACCTATGTATGTACACCCCACTCGGCGGCGTACACGTACACAGCTGTAAATTGCATGAAAAATATTATGCAATTAATTTTATAGCACGTTTCGTTTTTTTAGTTCGCCTGCGCTAAGCATTTGCGCAGACGCGCGGCGGTGGCTGCAGCATGACGGCRGAGGAGGATCTGGCGCTGTGTTCGCCTGGTACTCGAGTTGGTCGTCGTGCGTGCAACAATTTTCATTGTTTATTTTGCGTTTGTCGTTCTTGTTGTGGTTGATGTCGTCAACGCCAAGCACGTGTGTGGTTCTAGTATTGYTGCCATTGTTGTTGTTGTAACTGTGTTTTTCAGTTCACTTACCATTCTGGTGCGTTGATATTTTAATCACGCTTCAGCCGAATTGTAAATCTTTTNCCTTTTTATTGCCGAAGATGTTTCTGTGACCGGAAACCCTAATTGTGAACTGCCTGTGAGCTCAAACCCTTCCTGCAATTGCTTACTACACTGGCMAGTAATACCAACTGACCATATACAATACTATATATGGTTGGTTTCTGCATCTTAACGCAGTTATTTAATAGAACTCCACAGGCTTWCTCTATACCTAGTACTTCCGCTTCGAAAATGCTGGCTGAGACGGAAGGAGAAATAGATGTCAAGATCAGTGTAGGACTCCATTGTCCCTACCACGCAGTCCATTTTGGACCTTCGAAAAGAGAAAGAGATGCCAAGATAAGTGGAGTATACCCATGCCCCTACTCCGCAGTCCATTTTGGACTCTCAGAAAGTGAAGAAGATGTCAAGATCAGTGGAGTATACCCATGCCCCTACTCCGCAGTCCATTTTGTACCCTGGAGAAAATAAGGAGATGTCAAGATCAGTAGAATATAGCCTTTTCCCTACTATGCAGTACATTTTGATCTTTCGGTATAGATTAATTTAGATTAATTTAATTTTAATTTGTAAGTTTTCAATATACATTTTGCGCCATTCTATAATTTTCTCTTTCGGCCAATTTTTTCGAGAAAGGTGGAAGTTTTTCTATGATCTGCTTTAAGAAGGTTATTGTAAAGATCTCGAATACGTTGAAGTGAAAACAGTTATGCAGTAACAGTATATTCCATGAGTAACGGTATAATATTAATCATAATCTAGTTCGCTCAATGTTTTTAACAAAGAGGGCTCACGGATTTATGGATTCCCTTTCAAATGCGGTGCCATAGTGGTACAGCCGAACATCTCTGGGTATTGGGAATYGTTAGCGAAAATGTGTCTACTCAGCAACATGGATGAACTCAGTAATGATCAAGCTACCACGATAACTTCCTGTTCATAAATAAACATTCCTTGAATGGCTTCAAGAATAATTATTTAGATTCTGGATGGACGTCATGGAATATCACTTATTTAGTAATTGACTTTCACTATGGACTTCATAGAGGTAAATCTCTTGGCGCAACAGCTTCAAACTTACTTAAAGAATTATTTGAAAAGGTCTGTTGAGTTGTACGTACACGCTGCCATCCAGTCTAAGAGCCAGACTATTACAGATACTATAAGTCTCAGACGAYTTTCCATAACATTGTTTATATGCGTTGAAATGTTTTATGAGATACTTTACTGCGGTAGAAATTCACTCACCGTTTTGCCCTTCCAAAAGAAATCACTTATAGAAATGACKAAGTTGGAAAAGGGTTRATTCTAATTTCCATTTCAAGGCACGGAAGTCATGTAATTATGACAASCAACTATTTTCTAACCTTACCATAGTGGTCGGTATCCACTTTCCRAATACCAGTTAAAGAATGGACGTCAAACCGAACGCACCCATGCTGGAGCAGGATGGCTGAGCGGAGTCCAAAAGCTAACATGGGTAAGKGAAGCRGTCAGAATGCATCTCTTGTGCACTTGCYCTGGACTTGATGCACAGGAGGTATCAAAAGTGAGACCGCAGAGGCTGTTAAAGTTCGCTTCCTCTTGGAYTTAGCAACTGAWTTCCAACTGGTATSGCAAAGKACCAAACTGGTTTATGCGTGGCTTATTRGCCTACCAGATTAACTTAACCTAAYCTCTACTTTATTTCCCGCCTTGGAAGATCGAGGCTAAGACATCTYTGATCTCACAGCTACTGAAGCAGATTTACTTTGGATGCTAGTCGCTTTGTCGGTACATGAGAACCAGTTTTCTGGCATTCCAAAATACAGTTCTATAGACCAAGTATATTCTCTATATTGAGAATTAGCTTTAGAACTAAGATATTCCAGTTTAAAAGTATCGACAAATTCTGTCTACTCTTACCAAAGGAACCCTAAAATATATATTATATATTATATATTAATAACACAAGGTCGATTGCTAGTCACACATTGTTCTGACAATTTCCTGTGAAGCTTAGCATCGCACGATTTTTGCTGCCTCCGCCTGAGAATAATACGATTAGCGTATGCATTTATGCCAACTTATGACTGGCTAACTTGAAAGTTGACAAAAGTAAGAAATACATTACACACACACACACACATGCACAAGCACGTGCCGTACGTACTTCTAACATGCATACGTGAAACCGTCACAAACGAAAGAGCGTTCAAGAAGTCACCGCACATTGTTCACACATCACAATCACCTACAAGCAGATAATGATGCGGCCGATGATRATCACAAGTTGGACCGCTTACAGTTTGGCAAAACTAGCAGCAACCCATAYGGGCGCTAACAATTGCCGCTGGCATTGGTGTAGGACGTCGCAGCAGAAGCTGTCTGTTGTCAAGAAGAAGAAGAAGAAGAAGCAGCAGAAAAAGCGCATAGATGCGCGCACGCGCTATCAATCCATTCACTAGACGCGCATGCGCTTTGTTTTTGGCACCCACATGAGTCAAATAGCATCAATTTATAGATTTCTCAAGAGTTTTGTTGCTCTACGCTGTACGCTTGCACAGTTACTTACTGTATTAATATTTTATAAAGAAAAAATATATTTTTTTCGCGACGCGGCGGCGCACTTTTGTCGCCTTTGCGCCACATTTTGCCCTTATTATGCCACAAGGGGGCGAACAGCCAGCGCTGGTCGCTTACTTTTGATTTCATTTACTCATCCAAACAAACTAGTGGCGCTAGCGCTTTGTAGAGAATCTTAGCGGCTGGCGGCTGGCGGCTGGCGGCTGTCTTGCAAAGCGAGTGACACGAACGCGAGCCCACAGCTGCTGCTGCTGCCGCAGGAGAACGAAATGAAGATGAACGGCGGTGTCTGCGATTGCCGATCGCGACTAGTACTTGCAACGTTTGTAGGTGAATGACGAGTGGCAGCAACGTCAACGGCTATACACAACTAAAGCAGTCTTAGAGGCAGCCTTTGCAGCATCTCACATCAATTGAAAACAAAAACAATCAGTGCAACCAAATCATAACTTGGCAATGCTGTGGAAATCCTCTCGCTTTTCGAATGGCTGGCTCTTCTGCTTTATTATATTTACTATTTATATTATATATGAATGTCGGTATATGCATATTTTTGGAGTTTCACTGCTGCCGCCTTCGAAAAGAAGTCTTTGCTTTTTGGCATATAAATATGGCAACATTTGGTGCTTGGAAATCAGTCAGAATTTGTGTTTTAATCATTCGATTTGTATTGCGATAGTCAAGTCGGTCGAGTGTTGGCAAAACAAAGCGTCTTGCAGTAAACGGGAGCGTGTAACAGTGCAACAGGGACACAGCAGCACAGACAGGACTTTTGGTCCTGACCTAAGTACAACTGGTGTGCGAAATTTTTCGACGCTAATYTAAGTATTTCACTGATACTCAGCTCGGTTAAGGCATAACCAATTAGAAAACTAAACGTAGTACACCATAATGTCGAGAATTTGGTGTTTCGTGAGTTTATTGTTGGTGCTGTCAGCGGTGCTGGCGCGGCCCGAGCCGCCAGTGAACTCTTACTTGCCACCTTCAGCCAATGGTAATGGTAATGGCGGTGGACGTCCTTCATCGCAATATGGTGTGCCTGGACTGGGTGGTAACGGTAACGGCAATGGTAATGGCGGTGGACGTCCTTCGAGCACGTATGGCGCACCCGGTTTAGGCGGTAACGGTAATGGAAACGGCAACGGTAGTGGACGTCCTTCGAGCACATATGGCGCGCCCGGCTTAGGCGGTAATGGTAACGGCGCTGGACGTCCTTCCAGCACTTATGGCGCACCCGGTTTAGGTGGTAATGGCAACGGCAACGGTAATGGTAACGGCGCTGGACGTCCTTCTAGCACTTATGGCGCACCCGGTTTAGGCGGTAATTTCAACGGCAACGGTAATGGTAACGGCGGTGGACGTCCTTCCAGCACATACGGCGCACCCGGTTTAGGTGGTGGTAATGGTAACGGAAACGGTAATGGKGGTGGACGTCCRTCCAGCACATATGGCGCTCCAGGTTTGAGTGGAAATGGTAATGGCAATGGCAACGGCAACGGACGTCCCTCAAGCACTTATGGCGCGCCGGGTCTTAATGGAAACGGTTTGGGTGGTGGACAAAAACCCTCAGATAGTTATGGTCCTCCAGCTTCTGGTAATGGCAATGGTTATTCGAATGGMGGTAATGGTAATGGTAATGGAGGTGGACGTCCAAGCCAAGAATACTTGCCACCTGGCCGCAATGGTAAYGGAAATGGCAACGGCGGTAGAGGTAATGGAAACGGTGGCGGCGCAAATGGCTATGATTACTCGCAGGGCGGCAGTGATAGCGGTGAGAGCGGYGTAAGTAGAAAGTGCTTTCTCTTAACTTTAAGCTACTAGAAACGAATAGAACACACAAGGTTGTTGGTACATGAAAACCACTCGGCGTTAAACACGGTTTACAGTTTCTTGCAGAGAGAAATTGAGTTACACCAGGGTTTTTGGTATACCATACACTACAATGCAAGTCTCCAATTAAAAAAAAAAAAGTTGTTACACTCGCCTTAAATATCACATTGCCACACTTTGTCAACAATTTTGCTCGACAATTCACGCTGCGTGTGCTTTAACGCTTACACATATTCTTACTTGTTTCCTTCCAATGCTACCAAATAACTTTTGGTCAACTCTATTTTGCGCTTATTTCTCACACAAACCTGTTGCTTTTCTTATGAACTGTTCCGTTATTTCAAAATATGCCTGCTTACCGTTCTTATTCTTTAGGAACCGGCACAATACGAATTTAGTTACGAAGTAGAAGATGCTCCGAGTGGTTTGTCCTTCGGACATTCAGAGATGCGCGATGGCGACTATACAACGGGACAATACAATGTGTTGTTGCCTGATGGAAGGAAGCAAGTAAGGATATTTTATTACTGACAATATTTTAGAAGCGTGGGACAGGCTTAAAAGCGTCATAAATCTTAGAAGTCTACTTTATGAACAAAGTGTTTACGGCGTCATGTTTTTTGACGTCTGAAAAGTCAGTCGAAAATCTCTAACTGTTTTAGAGTTGAGCTTATGGGAGACTGTATGTTGAAAACACACTCTTAGGTACTCAGCTTTGTGTATAAAAAAATAGTAGTTTTAGGATTTTAGTTATAAATTTATTTGACTTTCAAAGTCCAACAACTAATTCACGTCGTTTTTTGTGCCGCTAAACTCTTTCTCTCTCTTTTTCCCTCTCTTTTTCTCTCTCTATTTTACTTTCTCTTTCTCTCTTTGTTCCCTCTCTCTTTCTCGCTTTTATTCTCTCTTTCAACGATTACTTTTTCTCTGAAATACACTTACGGCCACTTAGATCGTCGACTACGAAGCCGATCAGGGTGGTTATCGTCCRCAGATCCGTTACGAAGGTGAAGCTAACACTGGTGCCGGTGGTCTCGGTGGACTCGGCGGCGGTGCTGGTGGCGCTAACGGTTATGATTATGAACAGAATGGTAATGGACTCGGCGGCGGCAATGGTTATTCGAATGGACAAGATTTAGGCAGCAATGGCTACTCCAGTGGACGTCCTAATGGCAATGGTAATGGTAATGGAAATGGTAACGGCAACAGCTATAGCGGCCGCAACGGTAAAGGACGCAATGGCAACGGTGGTGGACAAGGACTCGGACGCAATGGCTACTCTGGCGGACGTCCGAGTGGACAAGACTTAGGCGATAATGGTTACGCAAGTGGACGTCCCAACGGTAATGGTAATGGTTACTCGAACGGTAATGGCAACGGCAATGGCAATGGTGGCGGTCAATACAATGGCAATGGCAATGGTTACTCCGATGGCAGACCGGGCGGTCAAGACAATCTCGACGGACAGGGTTACACCAATGGACGTCCGAATGGTTTTGGTCCCGGTGGTCAAAATGGCGATAATGATGGCAACGGTTAYCGATATTAATGAGCTKCGATTGGACAATGATTACGTAAYGACCCACAGCGGACAACGAGCCCACGARTAAACAGCGGGCGTGGAAAAATGAAACGCTCCTCATCATGCACATATTACATACTTACAAACACATTACCCATACTCGTATTCAATCATCATAACACTAGACTATTATATACGTAATGTATTTGCATATTATCTAGTTAGCATTTAGTGCGTGTATATGAAATGCATGTGACATATAAATAAGAACAGTTAGTGTACTTAAAGTTTCAATATGAAACTGCTAAACCCTTAAGTCCCGAACTCTACAAACTTTACATAAAGCTTCATGTTCTTCATTCTCCATATCTTCCTTTGTAATAGTAGCCGATCAAACTGACTGTATTTAACTTGCTACTCATAATTCATTTCATAAAAGCCTATGCTAAGTTGTACTCCTTACCTTCTGAATACTCATGTTTTTGTTTATAAATAATAAATACTTATATACTATATATATACAAGCCAACACATATAAATCATAGGTTAATATTATAGCAATGAAACGGACAAGCAAATGTTACAATAAAACACAAAAATATTTGACGATTTTATAAAAAAAAAAAAAAATCGACTTTTATTTTAAATTCACATTTTCAATTTGTAAAAAGCTCATTTAAGTTCTCCGGCAAGCTCGCTTACCACTATGTCGCCAAAGTTTGTCCAAACATAGTTGTGCAAACGGGGATCGCCACGCGGATCGTCTGGTTTGTTGGAAGCAGGTACAGCAGTCTCGTTAAAATGCTCCAGTTTGTCCAAAAGGGTCCTGAGTATATTGGGATATCTGGAATTTTTTAATCAGAAAGACATTCATAAGAATTTGCCAAAAGAAAACATAAAAATKTAAAGGAAAATAGCACCTTATGATAATTATTCAAAATGTTTTTAACAAATAATTGCGCCATGTTTTACTTCGAATCAATTAACAATTATAAATGGTGATCGATTTCGTGGTTTCCTAACTTTTTAAAGAAAAAACACAGAAACTTCAGAAATTTCAGAACTTTCAAATTTGGAGAATGTTTATTAACTTTCGAARGAACATTCGCTTGCATTTATTTTTTTAAAATTATCTATTTCATAAGTTGGCCGCGGCTAAGACTCAGATGATCCATCCGTTGAGTCCAATTTTCGATGAGTCATTCGAGTATTTCGACTGTTAACTAGCGAATGACAAGTGTTATGTTTTGCACCAAGGCCTGAATCTATGTGGACGAGACTTTAGACATTACGAGTACACATCCCCACATGAAAAAGTCTAACGGTGTGATATCACACGATCTTGATGACCAATTGACTGACGCAAAACGTGAAATTATCTGCTCACAAAAATGCTCTGTCAATAAATCCATTGATTGATACGATGTGTGGAAAGTATCGCCATCTTGTTAGAACCAAWTGTTGCCGAGATCACGAGCTTCAAATTCAGGCATCAAATAGTCAGGTTATCATGGTCGCCATTGATGGTTACAGCATCATTTTTGAAGAAATACATATGTACCGATTATTCTASCAACCCACAAACCACACCAACCCSTTGTTTTTACTGAATTAAATGGCAGCTTTTGAATCTCTTCAGGWTGCTCTTCATTTKGTTTGTTTTCATACCMATTGAACCAGAAATGGGYCTCATCGTTGTAMAAAGTTTGGCTTGAAAACGTTGGTTTTTTCTTGGAATTTTTTCAGAGCCCATTAACTAAAATGATTTTCTGTTCGTGGAAAAGTGCAAATAGAGAGATATAAATTGTTAAAAGTTAGGTAATGCTGCTGCCATCCCTTAGAAATGCCAGATCGAGAATCACTTTAATTTGTGCTGAAGTACTCGTCATATAGGACGTGATCGCTTTCTGCGAAATATATAAATATAACTTTGACAGACGTCTACTAGGTGTTCCAGCGTCTCATTCATGCCTACTTCTCTGTCTCTACCGCATGTTTACGCCCATCCGGCCAACAACTCTCCTGCAGTCCTTTCCGATAGCGTGTGAGTAAAAGCCATGCGAGTTTTTTTTAAAGGGTTCTTGGCCATGATCTTGGTAATTCTACATGTACTTAAGGTATTCCACCTTTCCTAGATACGCCTGTCAGCTGTTTTGGAAAGTTCATTGTATATCATTTTGAGTGACTTCCGAATTTTCTGCACTTTTTCGGTAGCCASACGAATGCCACCTTTGGCAAACACATTAGCTATTTCATTTCCCAGAATTCCTATGTGACCCGGAACCCATTATAGCTGCCGCTTTCCGGTACACGCTACATCTACTGCCTACCTGCTTCTATGGGTATTCTCTAATGTTAGGCAATGTGCGATTATTGGCCTGATTTCCACCTGGCTATCAACATAGAACAGTATGTCAGTCTTATTGATTTTCACTCAGGTTATATTGATCAGAAAAAAAMTTTCGAAACCTAAATATAATGGCTTCAACATTCCACAATTTYACTACATCTCCGACACCTTAACGCATTTTAAAATACTCGAAAATCMTAGAATTAAATCTCAACTACAGCGCACCTCYAGCAAACTTACTTTTCAGCTTGATTATAGTATTCACAGGGATCATCTCTCACATTATATAAGCACGGCTTCTTCTCCTTATACTCGCAWATGTTTGGTGGTGTCTCCATCACACACTTAACTGTTGCAGCCGTGCGCATTCGTATTACCTCCGCCACACTGGGTGTCATATTCAAGCTGGCCAAAGCATGACCGACCGGACAACGTTGTAACATCTTCAAATTGTATGCACTAGCATTACGTTCGCCCGGCGGACCATACCAACCATTCCACATTAACGGATAATTAGTGCCTAGTACTAACTTCCAATCGCCCATAGTGAGCGCTGCACTGCCCCAGATATCATCGATATTGTGTAGGATTGTGCGACGCGGCGAGGGTTCATCACGCGTAAGCGCATCCCAAATGCTTAWGCCATCCAAAGCTGCAGTGCCGTTGCTTCAAGAAARTATTAAAGAATAATGGTTCTTAAAAATTGTCRCTCAAATCTGTGTGYTTGCTACTCACTGCAGTTGCTCAGTTTGCCCGCCAGACGCCGCACTCAACAATGTCGGCAACCAGTCTACGATGTGCATACGCTGTTCGGCTACACGTGGACGTTTTTGCAGCCGTGGCGACCACAGCAACGCTGCGCCACGCACACCGCCCTCCCAGACTGAGTTCTTGACACCGCGAAGTGGCCAATTTGAGGCGTGATTAAGATTGAAACCCTCCGGTGGACCACCATTATCTGTGCTGAAGACAATTATGGAGTCTTCCAGCATTTTGCGCTTTTGCAGTTCCTGTACAATCAGTCCGACYGAGTTATCCAACTGCGTAAGCATGGCTGTATGGAATATAAGTGGAAAAAGTTTAATTAAAGATTATTATARTGCAAAGAACGTTATAGTTGACGGTACATTGGCCATACAACAGTARTCGAAAWCTTCCAACAACATCCGTATGCGCGAGTTTTACGKGTTTRAGGACCTCTCGATCTATTGGTTTCCCAGAATTGATATATTCTTATAATCTTAAACTTCAGGAACGAATTATATCGACTTTTGTATAATAAGTTCTTWTGACCTTTGGCTTACCCGCAAATCGTCGCCTTCCCATATCTGCGATATGATCCAGCTTAGCAACTGCTTCATCTGGCGCTGGCAGTGGATTATAGGGATTGGCTGAATGCACCGCCGCGTGAGCGACATAAAGAAAGAGCGGCTGGGCGGTTGCATTGTGCGCGGCAATCACACGTACCGCCTCTTCCGTGACTATGTCGGTGGTGTATTTTCCATGAAAGTCGTAACCGAYATCCATTCCTGGAAATGTGAATATAGAATTTAAATAAAATCTAACACAATGTGTCAAAAGTCTTTTAGTTTAACTTCAGTGGGATTTTTGTATTATTAACTTAAGAGTTCAATGTCATACACTTTTAATAACGTAGTTTCTGAATCGTATACAAAGCCACCAGATCCAGTCAGTTAAATTTTGAAAAATATATTTAGATCTTGTAGATCTCTTTCCATTTACCTTTTCTCATATCCAAGCCCCACATGCCGTGCTCCACTGCCGTATGGTCGAAATAATCATGATGACCCGTCCAGTAGCCTACGTGTGTCTTGAAGCCGCGTTGTAAAGGCGTATAAACACTTTTATAATGACCCAAGTGCCACTTGCCGGCAATGTGTGAGGAGTAACTGAAATTTCAATTTTCAGAAAAGCAATATAAAAAAAAACATGAACAATTTCCTAACTACCAAAGTCGAGTTTGATAGTTGATCTTACCCCAGTTCGTTGAGGTACTGCGGCAAAATTTTCTCAGTCAATGGTAGACCTCGCGGTTCCGCACCATACAGCACGGTATGCTGCATACCTAAGGATAGTGAAAGCAAATCCAAAGTTAAAATTTCATTTTCGGAATTCTGTAATACGGATTATAGTGGTACATATTATTTACAAGCAGTAAAAAAGAGGGGATATTTTCATATATAGGGTTGGTCAAAGATTTTATTGAAAAAAAAGGTCAGATATTTCGACACTATGCACTATTCGCAACTTCACCCATCTTCAGTCTCAGCATTCATTTTTGGATAATATTTTTCGACCAGTGAAGAAAATATAGCAGCCGTAGCTAAAAGTGTACATGTTCTTAAATTGAAAGTGTACAAAATACAGCTTCTGTATGAACTGAAGTCGCTCGACCTTCCCAAGCTTTGCTGCAGGGTCCTTGAAAAGTTCCAAGAAGATGCGTTTCACGTTTTAGGTCGGTCGATTGGCCACCACTTTTTTCTGTKGGTATAAGTAAAGTCTAAAGTCTATTCGCACAGCCCCGCTTCCGACTCAGGTCTTGAAGCAAAATGTCACATTGTCACATGACATTCGCAAATGCTCGAAATGCTCGAACGAACCATTGAAAATTTAACTCAACGGATGGACCATCTGAGAATTAGCCGCGGCCAACATTTGAAGGAGATAATCTTCAAAAAATAAATGCCAAAGAATGTTCTTACGAATGATAATTTAAAAAAGGAGGAAACCTCGAAAAGGATCACGCTTTATATCTA